GTAGCCCTTGTGTGCTGGTAACCCATCCTTAAATCTGTTCACTTGGAAGTGAGCCCCATTGTCTTCCAATGGAACTTACTTGCAAGAGAGTGTGCATAGTTAGAACTGGAATGTGTCATCACCATTCAAAGGCAAACAACGGAACAAGGGGTTTTGTCCTTTTGAATCCCTCCCAAGCTCTGGCATACATAAATATCCAGTGTTCGTCTCTGAACATGGTCTGGTGCACAAACCAAATGGGATATTTTGCTGAATTAGAGCCTGCCTGAAAACACACATTTTATTTTCTACAAAGTAAATCTTCAGAGAACAATCAATTTACAGGTAGTTTTGTGTTCAAGTCTCAGGAGAAAAATCTTGGGTTTATGTCCTCATTCTCCTTTGGTGTATATTTGTAAGCATTGTTCCCAAAGGCTGGTATTCAACTAAGTTTTATTCAGAATAGACTCAATGAAATGAATGAACATGAGTAAGTTAGGTCCATTTATTTCTGAATAAAACTTAGCTGAATGCATCCCAAAGAACCATAGCGGGCATAACTTTGCACTATGTTGATCATTCTGACAGGGCATGCCCAAGGGAAGCCCTGTTGCACAAGCAGAACTCCTTGTGTAGGCTTCCGCTAATGGGAGGACTTATTAATTGAATCCCACATTAAACTCCATTTTTAATTCCCCCACCAACTTCCAATATTATTTAAATTGAAGACACTAATAAAACTTGATTGTGGCACATATTCCAAGGTTATCATGGCTTGGACAAAACAGTCAAATGATGGTTTGACATTTGTCTGAGCCGTAGGGTCATGAACTTCCCTTACACTAGAGCTTTCCAAACTTTTCATGTTGGGGACACACTTTTTAGACATGCATCATTTTGCAACACAGTAATTCCGTTTTACGAGCAAACTGGAGGTTAAACTTAATCCTTATACCAACATTTGTGCGACACACCTGCACAGTGCAGCCAGCACACTAACGTGTCACCACACACAGTTTGGAAAGCTCTGCTTTACACACTTCAATTCCTTCCCTGACTTCCTGGTTTAGGCAAACTATAGTTTGACATTACTTCTGAGTCAGCAATCTGTGCATCTGGAAGGAAAGCACCAATCATAGTTTGCAATTTTTTTATTTAATATCAGCCTATCATTTGCCTGAATTATGTCAGGAGAAAATGGAGGAGGAGAAAGATGTCCTGGAATATGTTTTCCTAGATATGTCAAGTCTTTGACACAGAATATTGCCCCAGCCCCCCCCCTTTTATACTTTTCGCTGAATAAATTGCTTCTCATTGTTTGGCCCCTTGAAATAAATTCTGGGATATGGGAAAGCTCATCTTAATACAACTTTACCATTACTGCTTGACCATGTAACAGTAACCGTCTGAATTTCTGAACACAACTACGTACAGAGGTGCCCCTCACCCAGCTTTAATTCTTTAGGAGAGAAGACAAGCACCACTCATTCAAGGATAGTACATATCAGGTTAATCCCTGGCTATTGCACCAATGCTAATTGTGTGCCCCAGCCAAGGTTGGAATTTGCGTATGAGCAATTCAGTGAGACAGGGGGTAAAGCATAACCAGTGATAAATGAAACAAACTCAATGAATCAATTGGTTTATTGGCGTACCATATTTCACTTGCATTTTGGAATAAAGTTCATAGTTACCAACTCAGGGCAGGTGAATAAGTCATCCCCCTCAGCAAAATTATCCCCAAATTAACAACTCCTACCATATCTAGAACATTACATGTGATATATATTTACAAATAAATGCTTAATGTGAGCTCCCCGATCTTTTTCGAAGTGAAGGGCTTGCATGAAATATATATAACATGCTATGTTACATGCTGTATGTTGGGATAGAAGAATGCTATGAATCCTTTCCCCCAGCCTCCAATACACACAAATGCAGCACATGTGTGGCAGTTGCACATGATAAGATGCTTCCTTGGTTTGCTCACTTTGATAAATTACCGCTCAGTTGTTCTCTTGTATGTTTTAACTATAGGAAACTTCATCTGTAATAGAATTCTGTATTATGTGTTCCTTGAGTGCTTTGCTTGGCTTTCGTAGGGGATTCCGGAGTGTCCATTAGATGTTATTATAAGGCCATAAGCCACACTAGGTGCTTCCTAGGTATACCTTTATGAGGACCCAAACTTCCCCCTAATCCTAGAGTCACTTTTCAATTTGAGGACATTAACAGAAACATAATAACCACAATCTGCATTATTTATGCCATAGCACAATTGATGCAAGCAAATTGGCATGCAGCAGGGACTGGGAAGCCAGATGTTGTTGGATTTCAACTCCAATCCACTCCAGACAGAATGGCCAAGTGGAATGATGGGAGTTGGAAGTTCAACATCTGGAAGGCTACAGGTTCTCTATCCCTGGCAAAAAGGTTGATGAGAGCTCATATGCAGCAGTGTCCAATTACATTCAGATAGTTATGGATCAGCTGTTTGTGTTTGTTAATGCACAACAGTTCAAACTCACTTTTCAGTAGAAAAAGATCAAATTGCTGCTCAGTGCAATGTTTCTGTTTCCATATTATCTTTGTCTTCCAGATACCAAACTAAAAAAAAAATGCATTAGAAAAGTTGCATTAGAAAAGTTACAGGTGCTGTGGTACATCTTCAGGATGGTCACTCCCTGCTTGCATTTAGTTAGCACTTTGTCGGTTCCTCCAACTCTTTCATTCAGTCCCCATAAGAGGCACTGGCAATTTGTTGCCCAGCATGGGCCATGCAGCGAGTATGGTAGGTGTAGTATTATGAGAATGCAATGAGCAAAGGTACTTTCCCAAGGTATCAGGTCCTTTCCCTACCCATTCCACTTATTGCGTGTCAAGACCCTGAAACCACCCCCTTGATGGTGAATAAAACACAAGGACGCAGCTTTATTGGTTACAGAATGTGAGCGGTATTGGCTTAGGTTTTGGATTGACTCGACTATATCTGACTCCTGCCCATCACGCAGGGAGTCCAGTAAGGGTCAACCACTGGTAGGGGGAGGCCATTGATGCAAACCAACTTGAGCTGCCCCAGGGTTCCCGAAGGGGTTGTGGCATGGCCCTAGCCCCGTCCCGGGCTTTGGACAAGATCCACACCCCCGGATTCCTTTAATGGAATACCCTTAAGCTTGGAGGGGCAGGTGATGGCCACCCCTCCCCCATCATAAGATCAACCAATGCCTAACTGCCAAACCTTATAAAGTTGTGACAATTACTACAATGTAGGTGAAAACCAAATGGCCCATGCAAATTTGCCAAGTGGAAAAATTCCTACCAGGGCCCTCAACGGTGACAACCAAGGTCCATAGCAAGGCCAATATTGACACCTGCAAATTAGGGAGGGAGGGGGGGAGATTGAAGAAGCGAGCCAAGAGGAAGCTCTCCGGCTCACGCCTTGGTTTAAATGGGGCACGGCCACGCCTCCCCAGTCAGCGGATTGGCTGGCTGGTCGATGACGTGGCCAGGAACCTCTGGGTGATGCAGGACTTTGTCCCCCTGCCCGTGGAGGGGAGTGGGTGGCCATGTGGTCCACCGCAACTCCCCCTACAGTGAAGTGGAACGGATTTGCATAAGTGGATTCAGAACTCCCCTTCATCTCTAAAGCTGGCAAATTAAAGAGCTGTTTATAAGAATAGAACTAAGGGCTCAGGAAGAAACCTTACAATGCTGTTTATGTACATCCTGCTCTTCAAATTATAAAGAGCAACAATGGTTGGCTAGTTAATTCATATCAAATATCTTTGATTGTTCTGTGCTCTCTTTTATCCCTCTGGGTTGATTTTATTAATCACTATCTGCGAGCTAGTGAAAGCTACGAAGTGTCTTGAGCAAGGTATATTGATTGTTGACATCTATCGTGAGCAAGGAATATTGATCTGTCATGAGAATCGTTGTTCTATACACTGCCCCTTTAATTTAAACTCTATAGGATCACCTGCCATGTCTGTCCAATTATCTTTATGTAATAAGCATTGTGCAACCGAGGCTTTGAATGCTGCCGCTATCTGTGCTACGCCACTCAAAAGAAAGGGTTTACATTTATGCCTGGTGATCCCTCTATGGCCAAAACATCACAACTGAACTGTGCCATATTCCAAGTATATATTCAATATATTCTTTGCACTTTAAAATGTTAGAAGAGCACTTTAAACTGCTTTGAGATTGTGAAGCAAGTCACACAGAGGAAAAAGTCTGTTCTCATGGAAACATGTTGATTGAAATGGACACATTTAAAAGCCATCTATTATCATCTGCAATGTACGTTTGTTTTCAAATCCCATCAGCTGCTTGATTATCTTGAGATACCATCCTGTGCTGCCGTTGCAAAAGGCAAAAAAAAAAAAAAGTATGTCTTTGAAGACAACTTCAGCAAATGGATTTTTATTGTAAAGAATCCATGTTCTGCTGTCATATCCCATTGTGTCCTCTGTGTGCATCTGTCTTAAATGTGTGCCACCATTTTGTGTAAACCAAAATGGAAACAAATCAGAAGCAACTTGTGTAAGGATTATTTCCTGAGAAATGCACCACAACAGGTATAAATCAGCAAAGCTAGAATGCCACACACACACACACACACACACACACACACACAAAAGAATCATCATCAGTGCCAGTCTCCAAAGTTGAGTTCTAGGAAGTTTATTGAGAAACAGAAAATTTGGGTGCCATCTTCCATCGTGCTAAATATAATCACGTTTCTAATTGCAGACCTGCTCACAGAGCTAGGAGCCAAAGCTACCCTGTTTCTAACAAGCTAACATTCTGTTTTCCCCTTTCACTCTTTTCCTTTTCGGAAAAAAAGAAAAGAAATTTCATTTGGTGCGCTGCACACCTCCAACATGCCTAGGGCAAATGTGCTACTTTTTTTTTTCCTTTTTCTATCTCACCTTTTAGCTGTTGAACCCTACCAACAGATTTCGTTCTGATAAAACCATTCTTAGTGTTTCAATAGCCTTCTGCTTATATGTTTGAAGATTCGAAACTGAATGGGGAGGTGGCCAAGGCGGCGCTGGCAAATGAAGACTGCCCCCACATAGACCAGGCTATGTCACCCGAGGAAGGCCTGCCCTTTACCCGTTCTGGCACTCGGGAGAGATATGGACCTTGCTTCCTCTTATCAACCGGGGAATATCCCTGCCCGCCTGATGGAGGAATAAGAAAGGGTATGTAGATGAGGTCCTGTAATCACATAGATAGTAACATAGTTTAAGAGATAAAGTACTTACTGATAAGTAGTGAGCTTGTTTTAGATAGTGGCTTCTTGTGCTACAATAACAGCCTGATGCCTGCATTTTAAGTTACTAATCTGGGCTAGGAACAGTGGTTCCCAAACTCTTTAATCTGTGTGCCCTTGGCAAATCATTTCATCTAGTGTACAAATCTAGCATTCACCATTCACCTGCACCAGCCCCTGAGACCTTAGCTGCCACACAAGGCTTCACAGCTCAATCTTCTTTCCACCTTCCTATTGCAATTGCTGTGGGACAACATGGTTCCAACTCTTTCACCTGCTACGAAACCTCTTTAAGCTCTCGCCTTCTCTTTCTCCTGTACACCCCCCCCCAATTTCATGTGTGGCAGGCGGAGGGGAGGAGGCAATTCAAACATGCTCAGCAGAATTTCCAGAAGGTCACTTGTAGAGGCCTTTAACAAATGTCATGCAAGGAGCGATCACTTGGCATGATAAGTTTTGTTGTTTTACATTTTCTCTGGCAAGTGCTCATGTGCCCCTAAGGGTGCAGGTACCAGTTTGGGAACCACTGAGTGGGGAGGGAAGCAAAAATAAAACAATGTTTGTGACAGTGTCAAGCAGCTTAGTCTTCCTTGTTGGTTTATTTCAGCAAGTGCCAATAGAAAGTAGTTAGCAGTATCCTTAATCTATTCCAGTTTTCCCCCCAAGGAATGTGAGAGACTCGCTGATCGGAATAATCCAGGAATGACGGCTATTTAGAAAGTGCGGGCATCTTAAGACAATTGTTTGGCCATCTCTTATCCATATACAACACATAACATTAAACTCTAGCCCATTCAGCTTTCATAACTCAGTAGAATGGCCACCACTCCATGAAGACAGTGTTATGCTCTCCTTTGGCTCCCACGTTCATTTGACTTGACCACGGTTAGCATTCGTTATTGTGGCCTGTTGCCAATCTCCCTGAATATTTTCACGAAACTTTTATGACAGTATCGACTGCACCTACTACTGAAATAAAAACAAGAGCATTTTAAATATATACATATATATATCTATATTTATATAAGGAGAGGGAAGCAGACCATGGCTTATTTAAGCGGATGAACTGATGATGGTGAAAATGCAAACAAATTAATACTCACCCTAAGAGATTATCAAGCATATGCTTAGATATGTAAAACATATCATTTAAATCCATTTCAGTGTAGTATACATACGCCCTGGTCTGATAACTCCAGCATGTGGACGGAGGCTCCAATGTGCCTGTGGAGCTTTCTGTGAATGGTTGCTGAATACTCTTGTGGCATGTTCCCATATAAGAGCATGCCAAGTTTTGGGTGTCCCCCACCAAAAAACAATAACAATGAATTGTGGCCATGGAGTGTAACACTGCGTATTGACCAACTGCAAATATGGTAGGGTGAAATCCATGGCACAGGGTCGTACTCTACAGAAACTGTAGGATGTATTGCATGTCGGTAGGGGGAGACTATGAATAAATGCCAGTTGTAGAAATAGAGCAGCTGTAATTGTAACTTCAAAGCCTATTGATGATAAGATATAGTAGGATAATTGTACTTTCATTTGAAAGTATCTCTGCTGAAAATTCCCTTTGTAGCAAAGTGTTTTATATCTGATTCTGTATTGGATAGGTGTTGGCCACTTTCATTCAACTGGAGTCTTCTTCTTCTTTTGGTTCTTGCTTCAGTGTATTCTGAGACTTCTGCAAAGTGTCATCTCACTGGGGATTTTTTTTTTTAAAGTGTAGTTCCCATGATGCACCTCAACAAGAACCAGGCTCTGCCTGTTGAGTGAAAGTAGAGCCAGCTAACTAAAGAAGTATAAATGTCAGCATATTGTTGGCCTGTTTGAGGGGTGGGAGGGTGTGTATATATACCTTTTGTGTTCCAACCAAATTTCATTTCCTAGATTGTCTTACTGTCTATAATTTGCTGAGCTGTTTTGTGCATGTCTAAAAACTGGCAGAGGGGAAAGGAAAACAAATGCATGCAACAATACTGGTAAACAAACTGAGTAGTATCTCTATAGCAACATAATAACTGCTTTTGCTTTCGGATGGGCTTTTATGTTATAAAGACATCTTTTTAGGGGGCCCAACCTTCAGATAATGTGATATGTAGCTATATAGAATATGGGATATTTATTTCTTCCAGCTGCTTTATGGCATTGCCTACATTATAGTAGAGGGTTTCCATCCAAGGGAAAGGTGGTGATTTCCCCTCTCCACCATTTTCTGATTGCTTCTGACATGGTCATGTTGCAAGGGATACTACTCTCAGCATGTCAAAGCATGAGGATGCTACTGATCTGGCTACTTTGTTGACCATTCTGTTGTTGATCCAATGCTCTATTTTTGCATTTTTTTTCTTTTTAAATGAAGGTTATGAAATGTCACGGAGTCTTAACAGCATAGCTGGCATAAGTGGAAAAGCGGTAGGATTATCCTCAAAGCCTGCACCCTACAATTCTCCTAGCCCAACGAGACATTCTTGGTCTCCCATCCCATCCATTTTGTAGCATGGATCAGTAGCAGAGAATGGTCTAAATCATAATACTAAAAAAAGAAAGAAAAAAGAAAGAAAAAGAAATGCTATTCTTTCTAATTGACCTATGAGCTGTCACAATATAATGCAAATGATGATAATGATGATGATTGAAGCGGTCTGTCTCTCGGTAGCATCTCATGGGGACGGTGTTACTACTGGTTTTAGTAACGCTTACACTGACAACATCCTTGATCGGTAGTGCTGAGATGACACTAGGTGGGCATTAGTAGCTTTGGCGGGCCATAACACTGCATGATATTGGAACATAAGACAACAAGGTGGATGCATCATGTAGTTTCCTCTAAGGTTGCATCAGGCTGGTATGTGCTTTTTCTTGGCTAATGGTGGATCCACTGGCTCTTATGGAATGGGTTAGGCATTCAGGCCAATGCTGAAACTTGCCAACGATTGAAGATTTTGCTTTACTCAGGATATTTTTTGAGCCATAGGAACCCTGCAGGAGTTTGAGCAAAACACACGCAGTAGGATGAAACTTTGCATGGGCGCCTATTCTATGTTGAAAGCAATAAGATACACTGTAGAGAGGTCTCTAGCTGGCTGGCTGACTGCATGGGAAAAAGTACTGGCGGAGAAGAAAACTGGCTGCCTCTGCATGTAGCTCTTTCCACCTTAGTCCTCCTTCCTTTAAAACACCCAGCTTGATTTGAAAAGCGCAGGAGAGAAGCTCAAGTATTGATTATATTCTTTACATGCAGATCTTTGCAAAGAAAGTCGTGTCATTGCTAAATATATGCCAACAGAGGCAGTCAAAGTGACTTGACATGGAGAGAACGAGATGGACAATGATGGCTTGTAAACGTCTGGGTGGAACTGTGCAGGCATAGAAGACCTCCTCATTTGGACAAATGTAATCTCACTCCATGCAAGTTTGCAGGATGATTCTATGTGGTTTCACAGATATAAGTAGATTTGCAGGCTTTTTCTATGGCCAAAATGTAACAAATGATAGATTATTTTTTTTGTTGTTCCATAGCATGAATTGCATGAAAACAAAAAAACCTGCAATTGTATGAGTAACTTTAAAGGGGGGGGGAGGCAAAGTGATCTATTTTCTTTCAAAGCTCTTTACTTTTACATACATTGTTGTAGCCAAACTGTAAAATGTTCTAAAACCGTACATTCCTTTGCTATGGATTGCTTCTTTTTGTATACAAGATAAAAAGAGTTAATGGTTTTAAAAGTGGAATCGGGCGGTCATATTGACCAAGCCTTCATAAATACATCACATTAACATGAAAAAACAATCAAGAACTTTTCATTCAACTAGAATTGTGTAAACTGTACAAACAACTTTCTTTTCCTGTCTGTTTTTGTTGGCATGCTTGTGAAACATGGGACCAACTCTTGGACCTGATGGTAACAGCTGGTCTAGACTTATTTTCCAGCTCTGGTTATGTTGTATTTTATTGGTGTATAGATCCAATGTGAAGACCCTTCATGGCAAATTGTTCACATTACGTAATCAGTGATGAATTTAACAACAACAAAAAATGTTTTTTTAAAAAAAATCAGAAAAATCAGAAAATCTGGGACTTACAGTATACAAATCAGGAAGCTACTCAAGTGTAAGCTTGTCTCAGAGTTTAAGAAACAAGATGATGGCATTGTATGCAATTTAGAACTTCTGAGTAAAACGCATGCACAATGTTATGCAAAACAAATCCTAGCATGAAATAAATTTTGTATCATGGTTTCAATGCCTGCTGTACAGTGTAAATCAGAATTCTTTTCTAAAATGATCAGAGGTTTCCAGATACACTTCTGAAATCGTGAATAAATACAAGACTCCCAATGGAAATATAAAAGAAGCTTGATTTTAATTTGCTTCTAAAATGGCAAAATTGGTGACTGCATCATCAACTGGTTCCTCCAAATCCTTGATACAACTCGTGTCTACAGTCTTCACGACACTAATAAATATAACAAATGGAAGGTATAACGTGGAGTTATGTAGGTCTCTTTTGCTCCCTCTCTTCTTTCCCCTTTAATAATAAAAGTTTGGCTTTTTAGATGATAATGTGAAGTTGGGTTTTCTTCTGTGGTTCTCTTAAATTCTCCACTTTACAACAGCAGCCCACATCATGTAAGTCTTTAAAAGGGATCAAGAGCAAAATAATTCTAGAAAATAGTGAGTTATGTCTAAAGCTGTCAAATATTAAGGGTAGTAACAGAGACTCATGGGGGGAACTATAATATTTCATTTGGGATTCAAAGAGTAAGATTGCTTGTCAACATAATTCTTGTAGTTTGAACATCCTATGCAAGGTATTTCTTCAAGGGTTACAAATTCACTGTTTGAATACCTCTACCAAACATCTCAGGAAGAAAATAAGACTTCTGGAACTACTAGTTGGTATGAGAAGTACCGTATTTTTTGCTCTATAGGACGCACTTTTTCCCCTCCAAAAATGAAGGGGAAATGTGTGTGCGTCCTACGGAGCAAATGCAGGCTTTCGCTGAAGCCTGGAGAGCGAGAGGGGTCGGTGCGCACTGACCCCTCTCGCTCTCCAGGCTTCAGAAAGCTATCCACAAGCCTTCGGAGCCCGCTGGGAGTTCCCGCCGGGCTCCGAAGGTTTGCAGATTGCAGCTTACAGCCCGAAGCCCGGGGAGCGCAGCGCTGCGCAACCCGAGCTTCGGGCAGCTATCCGCAGTGCTTGCCGCTGCTTCCGGACCTGTTCTGGGGGCTGGGGTCGGGGGAAGCTCAGGCTTCCCCCGGCCCCAGCCCCGCAGCTAAAAACGAAGCCACGAGCAGCCTCTCACGGCTGGAGAGGTTGTGCATGGCTAAAGAGGAAGCCAAGACAGCCAGCGGGATGGATCCCGCTGGCTGTGTTTGCTTCTTTGCTCTTTGGGACTGGGGGGGGGGATAAAAAAAACTTTCTTTATTTCCCCTCCCCCCCAAAAAACCTAGGTGCGCCCTATGATCCAGTGCACCCTATAGAGTGAAAAATACGGTATATATTTGAACAGGAAATGTAGAATAAACTTGGTTTATAGGTATTCCTTTGCAATAAGTTAGCTTAATCATATTAACTATGAACCAAATTTGCTGAATCCATTCAAATATAATAGGAGATATGCTTTTCCAGTTATTATCATCTTAGTAGCCTGGTTCTAACTTTTACTAGAGTGGGGAAAGCATGAATTGGTCACACTCCCCCCCCCCTCATTTCTGATGTTAACATGCAAAATGGGAACTAATGGAGCTCTCATCCACTGTGAGATCCACAGGCCTCCCCCTCTCCCAATGATTTATGGTGAGTGATAGCCATGAGTCCCACATTACAGCGGGTGTATGTGTAGAAGCATGACACGCTTGAACTTAAGTTGGAACAGGCTCCAAGATCAATCACAGAAGAACATGGATTTGTTATAAGGTTATGGATAACAGATGGTACAGTCAGGAGGCCAGTTTCAAAATTAGAGATCATGATGGGATAGAGCAGCAGGGGAAATCGCTTGATGAAGTCAACCCAAAGCCACAAGACTTTCCTTATCAAAACTAGTTTATTGATTTGTGCTTAGGTTTCAGGAAATCCATGCGTGATCTTCAGAAAAGGGATTGTGCGGCAACCTCTCTCTACCCTGTTTAGGAAGAGGATAACAATATGAGTAACAGCAACTTTAAATCCACAAGCGATCTGTGTAGTGGTTATAATGTTCTCAGTTGAAGTCCTACAATAGAATATCAAATTCTAAAGAATCTTGAATTATTATTGTCGTTTAGTCATTTAGTCGTGTCCGACTCTTCGTGACCCCATGGACCAGAGCACGCCAGGCACTCCTGTCTTCCACTGCCTCCCGCAGTTTGGTCAAACTCATGTTGGTAGCTTCGAGAACACTGTCCAACCATCTCGTCCTCTGTCGTCCTCTTCTCCTTGTGCCCTCAACCTATTATTAGGTTATTAGGCTAGTGTATTTCAGAAACAGCACATCATTTTAAGAGGTGGGGAGGTGTATTTCCAACAGAATCTACTCTATCTAAACTAAATGATCCCCAAGTCTCACCCTTCTGGTATATGAGGCTCAGATGATCCACAGTTTTAGAAAGATATAAAATTGGACACGGTAGCTGCATGTAGCAGATTAACACCCTTGGCATCTTTAAGCAGCAAACCCATTGTATTTTCCATGAACTGGTGTGACACATGATGTATGGTGGGATAATTCTGCAAAAGCCAGTCAGGAAAGTGGTTTCTTTTATTCTCTCACTCCAGAAAAGATTCTAGCTAATGACACTGTGATAAGAGTCAAGCGTAATGGCCATTAATCTAGGAGAAAATGATTTCTCATATAAATTGCTCTCGCTCTCACTCTCTTTAAAGTTTCACAGGCACAAAGAAAATACGATCACTGAAAGGAATGGTTGTTAGGACAAATGAGCATGCCAGGACTCAAAGGAAACAGAGCAGAGATAAAGCAAGAAAACTCAGAATTGAGCTGAGCACTGAAGTATATCGGATGAAAGCACCCCAAGGCAACACTCATGTGATGGTTGCCCTTCTTTTCTCCTCACCGCTCCAAATAAAGCAATGGTTTTTCTTTGATTTCAAACAAACCATCCTACCTGCTACTTTCTCATTGAAACCATTTCACAGTCCGCACTTACCCAAGCAATAGCAAGCCTTTAATAAGGTCAGGTTCTTAATGTGAATTAAGTACTAAAGACGCAATGCATTTTTGTAGTATCTTTTGTAACCAGTAGAGGCAGGGAGAGGGAAACAATCACACAGACTATTGGTATACAAAAGCAGAGTCGGAAGGGACCTCAGACTAGTCCAACTAGTAAACCTCATTAAATTAAACAGAACTGAGTAGAATAGTTAAAGGTAAAGGTACCCCTGCCCATATGGGCCAGTTGTGTCCGACTCTAGGGTTGTGCGCCCATCTCACTTAAGTGTCCAGAGACACTTCTGGGTCACGTGGCCAGCGTGACGAAGCTGCTCTGGCGAGCCGGCACCAGCACAGCACACGGAAACGCCGTTTACCTTCCCGCTAGAAAGCGGTACCTATTTATCTACTTGCACTTTTAGGGGTGTTTTCGAACTGCTAGGTGGGCAGGAGCTGGGACCGCAGACAGGGCTCACCCCGCCACGGGGATTCGAACCGCCGACCATGCGATCGGCAAGCCCTAGGTGCTGAGGATTTACCCACAGCGCCACCCGCGTCCCCTTAGAATAGTTAGGACTATGCTTTTACTCTCTCTGCCTCCTCCCCAGACACAGTGTGATTATTAGTGCTGCAGAAAGGATGACAAATTAATTCAAATAAAAAGGGGTGTCATTATCTCATCATGAAGAGAGGTACATAAATACCCAAAGTATTTCAAAAACCACAGAAATTTAACCAGCTAAGCTGTCTGAGGAGGATATGACATTTTCTTCCTTAGAGTTTCCCTTGCACCCTCAACCTCCTCCACCCCCCAAAAAGGGTAGAGATCTCTATTTTGGGTACCACAGATCTAGGGTGCACAGCCTGCAGGAAGTTACTTAGGGGCATCCCTTCCAACTGTATGAATCTATGCAACTGCTAAGCACAAAAATGCTATGCCTTTTACTAGAAAGGGCAAGATATGAGTGCTTTGAAAACATACACAGACACATACATACATATATGCAACATTACAACTTTCACTTTGATTCAATAAATCATTCTAGCAGGCTACAGCTTACTGCATGCTTTGCCTACATGGATACTACCAAGAGCACCCAACTTTGAACTGTCCAAAAGGATCTAAGCGAGATTCTGTTTTTTCCCCCCATGGCTTGAAGTCCTCTGGGCTAGAGGTCACCTCTAGAGTTGTTTTTATTGAAAGATGCTTTATTAGATGAACCCTTTCCCCCAGCATCACTGCTGGGTAAGTCACAAGATGCCTCTTTGCTGTCAAATCATAATACTAATGTTTATAATAATCAGCTGCACTACTGCTTGTTCAGTCTTTTGTTACGTTGTAGTACATCCTTGTCACTTGATACTATTTACCTAACAAGAGGTAGGATTCTTATGGTAGAAAGCCGTATCATGTTCAGTGGTAAAGACCTGATTGACAGTTTGTTATCTCACCTTCCAGTGATATTCAATTTTCTGTAGACTCCAGCATTCATAGAGAGATCTATGGCAATTTTGACACTGGATTTGTTACTTTGTGCACCCAATTGGAATGCATTAATCACCTTCAACTAAACTGTTGCACTAGCAGACCGTCAGCACAAGGATTCCTGCTAGCACAATAGGACTTTCTCCCCTTCACCCTCTCAAAATCTGCTCAGGGGGATTGAGAGAACCCCCAGAACAGTGCAAAGAAGAAAAAGAAAGGAGATCACTATAGAGTTTTCACAGAATGCTAAAGACTCTTTATACTCTTTACCACTTCTCCTTGTACAATTCTGTAAAAATATACCCCTGCCTCTCCACTCCTTTGGTGAAAGCTCTTTTCCTTGTTTTGGGCATCCTCTGTCTAGACTACTGCAACTTTTACCTCCCTGGCCTCCTCTTCTTACACATCAAGCCCCACACCTCTGTCCAAAACTCTCCCGACAAAATTGGCATTATTTAAACAGTATGGCACTTCTCCCGAATTCTTGATCTAGGACAAAACTCCCTAGCCTCAACTCCAAAGCCTTCCATAGGCATATCCCTGTGTCTGAACTAACTTTCTTAGGAAAGGAGTCTAAAGAACTGGTAATAAAGTTCTGGAACTTATTGATAAACTAAAAATGAACAAAGTTACTCAATCCAGATGGCATCTACTCGACAGCTCTCGGAGAATTAAAATGTGAAGACGCAGAGCTTCTAATGAAAATTTGTAAATTATGCCTGTACCCGAGGACTGGAAAATGGCCAATTTAATACCATTTTTTATTAAAAGGATCTGGCTGGATCCCAGAAGCTATAATCTGATTATCTTCACATCAGCAATATT